ATGTGCCTGTTAGCCTGAACCTTAATCTGGCGTATCTTTCTACTCAGCACACTTCTGCAAAAATGTTCCCTTCTCTAGTAAAACTATTTGTGGGATATTTATTTTCACCTCCCTTAATTAAAATAGTCTTCTAGGACCTTTGCAAAAAATATAGACATTATTATCCCCAATTAAAAAAAATAAAGGCTTAATATCTCATTTCAGAAAAGATCAATTATATCATCTACCCTGACAACTTCAGGGCTATTTCCACTCAACATTTTATTTTCAAAGACTACAGGTGGTAAACTGTCCATCTTAGGATTCTAATCCTGAGAGGAGATTCTCTATATGAAACATCTTTGGTATAACTTACTTAACATAAATTAGACTCAAATTTTGTGCTGAACAGATAAATATGAAAAAACAGATTAAAGTTAGATTCCATAATTTCTGATCAAATGGATCTTTTGTTCTTTACACTAGTAAACACAAAACTGCATTTTAGGAGAGATTTCATGATACCAGGAATGTGTCCATTTTCATCAGGCATCGGATTTCCATTTAATTGTTCAATTTCCTTTGCTGGTATCCAGCACTCTGGAACAGGTTTGAAGTCCTCCTCGACATTCCAAAAAAATTCTAAAAGAATCAGATAATCTTATATGTGGCAGTACTTTTAAAAATATAAAATGGCGCAAAATTTGAAGTGGGACTAGCTAATAAACCCCATAATATCAGGTATCATATAATTTTTCTCCATTCATTATCACCACAATCTGACTATACTTCTCAGGGTTAGGGTACTAACACTTCTGCTGTACAATTTTGGATACACCACCATTTGCAGATCTAGCCCTCCTCTAGAACACAAGTGGTTCTCAACCTTCCTGATGCCGCAACCCTTTAATACAATTCCTCATGTTGTGGTAATCCCCAACCATAAAATTTTTTTCGTTGCTACTTCATAACTAATTTTGCTACTGTTATGAACCATAATGTAAATATCTGATATGCTATATGTCTTTTCTGATGTTTGTGACCCACAGGTTGAGAACCGCTGCCAAGTGGCTTCATAGCATGGGTCAAATATTTCAGTAGGCATCACAAAATGGACATTTTCTAGTTACTCATGTTTTAGTATTTATTTATTTTTTTAAAGTGGTCATTTTTATTTATTTTTAATTTTTGTTAATCCTCATCAGAGGATTTTTTTTTTTTAAAGAGAGAGGGGAAGGAAGGGAGAGAGACAGAGAGAGATGATTGCCTCCAATAAGCTAAAACCTAGGTTCAGAATCGAACCTGGACCCTTCAGTCTGTGGGCTAGGGGGACACTATATCCACTGATCCAAACCAGCGAGGGCACTCATATTTTATTTTAATGAAATTCATTGCTTTGATTATTTTCTTAAACAAAAGAAATAGTGTACTTGTTTTATTTACATAAAGGATTTTATGAAGCAACATGTACAGAATTATCCTAATTTTCTTTTTAGTCACATGAGTGCAGAAAGAGAAGCTATTCATTGTTTTATTTGCTGATTTGATGATTGATTGTTTTGATTATTAGGGAACTTGAGCATCTTCACGTTTGTTGGCTATTCAGTACTTCTTTTTTGAATCATTCATGACCTTTTCTGAGTTTTCTATTAAATTGTTTTCTTTTTCTTATCCATTTTTGAGAGTTATAGATCATATATATTACTCTTTTTTACATAGTGTAAATATTTTTTCCAGTTTGTAATTGTCTTCTGCATAGAAGCTTTTGATTTATGTAGTTAATTGTTATATTTTATGGGTTTTGTTTCAAGACCTTGAGATTATTTAGGGGAATAGTTTATTTTCTTCCTGGTAACTTTTTTCACATTTGATTTTGATCTGTTTGGAATATATTTTGCTTATGGTATAAGAAAAATCAAATTTACATTCTGCATTTAAATAACTAGTTGTCCCTAAGCACTTTGTCTTCTCCCCATTGAATTGAGATGCCACATTTATTATGTTAAATTTGCAAATTTACATAGCCTGCTTCTAGACTCCATTGTGATCCATTGATGTGATAACATTACCAGTACTGTGTTTTTAAGGTCTAGCTCACTATCATTAATTTTTTTTTTTATTTTTACTGATTTTTTTTCACACATATGTTCTTCCATTTGAATTTTACAATTAGTTTATAATTAGTCCTATTGGGATTTAAATTTAATGGTATTAAGTTTGGTGGAACAGACTTTAAAAAAATTGGATTTCCCATTTGGTTATATAATTTTCTCTATTCAGATCTTTTATATTTTTCAACTAAAATCGTTTCTACACCCTTCTTAAGATTATTTCTAGGCATTTTGTATGTTTAGTGTGGTTATTTTGTGTTTAGTCACAAAATACCTTAATTGTGATTATTGGATTGTGAATGAAGTTTTCTTCATTTTTGCTCAAGTATACCAATCATGCTTTAAAATAAGTATAAATAAAAATTGAAATGTATATACTCAAGTGTGTAAACTTTAAAAATAAACTTCAACTTTTTTTTTATTGCTTAAAGTATTACAAAGAGTATTACATATGTCTCCTTTTTTTTCCCCCACCCTTGACAATCCCCTGGCCTCCCCTACCCCCCAGTGTCTTATGTCCATTGGTTATACTTATATGCATGCATACAAGTCCTTGGGTTGATCTTTTACCCA